TGGTGTATAAAAAATGCTAGGCTAAAAAATAATCTAAGTAACAAGTTATTAGTTCATACTATAATTTAAATAATATAAAAAAATAATAGCAAAAGAATTTGAAAAAAAAAAGCATTAATGAACTCTGGATTATCAAACTATCCAGTATTAATTTAATAGAAGAAAAACCAAAATAAAAAAGTTAAACTTAAAAAAAAAACTCTAATTTGAAAAAAAGTTAAACTAAAAAAAACAACTCACCTAGTAATTCTTTTTTTTTTGTGTTTTTTTTACTCTTATCTTTTTATGTTTTAGATCCTTTATAAAAAAATAATTTGTAATTTTACTTTTTAACATTTTATTAATTAAAAATTAAAAATTATTTTTATAAGGTTATCTCGACTTTGTGATGGGGTTATGGGTTTAACATAATAGTTTATCTTTTTTGAGATTGATATTTTATTATTATTCAATATTATATGGAATGTGGATTGAGTTTCATGATATTTTTTTTATTCTTTTTTTTTTGTGATATTTTTTTTATTTTTTTTATGAGATTATCTCATTTTTATATTCTAAGTCTCGAGATTGATAAATCGATTTGGGTAAACTTGATTTTTTTTTATTACTAACCAAATCACATGAATCAAATTCTTAATTAACAAAATGAGAAAATACATAAAAATTGCTTATTTTATCAATTATGAATTTAAATTTTTAATTTTTTTAGATTTATTTTCTACGAAATAATTTCACCCGAATGATCTGGGTAACTTGTTTAAGGGATTAGTGGATTAGCTATGAATGACTTTGGTCTTTTTCTAGTTTTTTTTTATGTTTTTGAATTATTTTAATATATTATATTAAAAATATATTTCAAAAATAAAAAATTATTTTAATATATTTTTAAATATAAATTATTTTTAAAAATAATTATTATTATATTATCAAATATTACTGAATAAGATAAATAAACTTTTTCATGATAATAGTAAAAATAATAACAATAAATATTATATGTATATAGCGCACCAAAGTGACTTTCCCATGAGTTTTAATGCACGGTATGGTATCTTTTATCACGTAAAGGTGGGCTCCACATAAATATGAAACAATGAGTAGTAGCGTATCAGGTGCGCTAGTTATTTTAATCTCATGCGT